TACAATGTTGTATCAATTTCTGGTGTCCAGCACAATATTTCAGTCACATAGGAACATGTATACATTTGTTCTTTTTTGTTCTTTCTATTTTTGTTGGGGGTGGGTAATTAGGTTTACTCATTTATCTGTTTTTGATAGAGGTACTAGAGATTGAACCCAGGATCTTGTAATGCTAAGAATGTGCTCTACCACTGAGCTATACCCCCGCCCATACATTTGTTCTCATAGTCTTCTTCACCATAGGTTACTGCAAGATACTGAATATGGTTCCCTGTGCTATACAATATAAAGTTGTTGTTTAGAGTCACAGAATATTAGAGCTATGAAAGGATGTTAGTTTGTCTAGTTCAGTGCCATCGTTGGCCAGTTAAAAAACAGGCCCAGAAAGGTTGAGAAAGTGTTGAGAGGAAGAAGGGAGAGAATAGGAAACTAACAATCTCTGGAGCCTACTATGTGTCAGGTACTACACATAGCAGTACCTTTGCTTTTATAATCTTGATTATTAAGCACCTTGAGGCTAAGGGAAAGAATGAAAGGCAAATCCTTACTGTCTTGAGCACTGTGTAGGAGATAAAGGGGAGTGGCATATCATTTTTTTCCTGTCTAATCACACAGGGCTAAACTAGAGGAAGTGGAGCCAGCATTTGAGAGTGAGGTTAATCTGAGGAAATACTTGCTAAATAGTTGAGAGAGACTAATGAATAACTTCTCTTTTCCTAGGGACCTTCTAAAAATGTGATAGTCAGAGGTAGGCTAGAGGCAAGCCCGGTAGGGAACAAGATTACTGTTGGCTCTGGGATTGATTTGCATTCTAGAAAATCAGGTCACGACCTGAGAATATGGGGTTAATCTTAGAAATAGAGAACAAAATGGGCTTTTCATCCTAAGAGGTCTTCAAAGAAAATAGCGTTTATATGCTATGAATTAAGGAAATAAACAAAATCCTTTGGTGACTATGCTTTAAAAATTTTTTTTTGTTTTAGGTTTTTGCTTTGTAACACATTTTGAAGTCATGAAACAATTTGTAATTTTGGAAAGACTCAATGCCAAGTTCAATGTTGGTAAGGGCAGGTGACAGCCTGAAAATTGACATTGGGAATAAGATTGTCTTTCTTGTAGTTGTTTGATGTGATATTCCAAAAGTTATGCCATGAGGGCTGCTTCCATGGGAGCAATAATACCATTAGCTGAGTCATGTCCCAAGTACATAGCAACTTCTAGGTAAGATTATGGGAGGGTCCCGCCTTTAGGAAGTTTCTGGGTCTAGTAAGAGATGACTGTTGTATCTGGGTGGGAAGTGGGGAATTGGTATTTATAAGTCAGCACATTAATGCAGATTATAAAAGAAAATGAAATAGTAACCTAGCATAGAGGGACCCAAAGCAAAGAAATAATCAGAAAAACTAGAGTTAACCAGAAAAGATGCTTTGAATTAATGAAGATAGAAGACATGGAATAGAAGAGAGGAAGGTGATCGGAGGGAGAAGACTTATGGAAAGTTTATGTGTTTTGTGCAGAGGTCTATGAATGGAGTAGTCAGTGTAGTACGGGAAAGGAACATTAGGAAAAGAAGTTGAAAGTTGGAAGAGCAATCTTGTTGGCCTGAGTGAGGAATTTGAATTTAATTTGGTAAGCACTAACGGAGCAGAGCATGATGAAGTGAATATGATGTTGAGGACTGTTGCAGCTGTACTGGGTCAAGGAAGCAGGAAAGCTTGCTAGGATAGTATTGTTCTTGTCCAGATGTGAGGCCCTAAGGGCCTGCACTAGAGTAAGACAAGGCGAATGAGAAGAAAGGAGGTGGGTCAATAGAATTAGCAAGGCTTGATGATAGTTTGGATGTGAGGGGAGGAATAAAAGGTAGGTGGAAGATGATAACCCCAGGACATGTTTATGCTGTTGATGCTGATGAGAACTTGGAAAGAGGCGGCTGCTTTGTTTTTAAAAAGTGGAAAGTGTTTACCAACTGGTGGGATATGTCTGTGTTCAGTATTGCAGAGTCTAGGAGGGGCACTACCCCTGAAAATAGTTGAGCATGTGCTGTGTGCCCAGATGATCACCTGCACTATGCGTTTTTCACTGGAGAACCAGGTGAAAGAAAGTTTTGTCCTGGGGCGCACCCATGGACTTCCAAGAATACTATCCCTCTCTGGATCTGGGAAAGAAAATACAGTTTCTTCCCCTTTAATGCTTTGAAAATGGGATATGACTAGCCTGTGGCAGCATGTGCCTGTGGATGCACAATTCTCTGGCTTGATTGTTGGAAGGCCTTTTTCTGTCCCTCCCTGGGGGTCATTTGTATCTCTGGTTCCTGCTCCCAGAGCCATAAAGTGGGAGCCCCCATTTATTAATTGGGTTGGGACTGGGGAGGGGGTCGGCGGGGGACTCTTTAGTGCAGCAGGCGGGGGTCTTCCCGAATGAGCCCATTAGCCAGCCCCAATGGCAGCTGAAACGGGGCCGCAGCCAAGTCCTCTCCGTTTCAAAAACCCTCCATCGCCTGCAGCAGATCAGAACAAGGCCTGCGGGAGCCCTTAGCTTCTGATTGCAGCTGTGAGGAAGGACAAAACAATTTATAGGAAGCCAAGTAGCTCCTGTCTCACTGTCTCTTCCTTTCTGACTTTGGGAAGGGGGAAGACTGGGATGTGGTATCCCCTCCCACTATAGTTTCTTACAAGGCACGTATAGGCCTGAAGTAGGAGAGAAGAATGAGTGTGTATGCATTGACTGGGCACTTATGCCTGTGCTCTGGAAGTGTTTACACATGTCCTTGCTTTCTTCTTCCATCCACACACAGTTGTATTGGTCAAGCAGTCACTAGTTATATGGGATTCCCTAGGGTAAGGCCAAGTGTGTGCTCAGACGCTTAAACAGTCTAAGTTGTGTGTTGGTGGGGGGCGGACATGCTTATCGTACTCTTTTCTGCCTCATACCTGCTTTAGCTCCTATCTGCTTTGTCAAGATTCAGGGTTAAAGTTAGATCACTTTCTCAACACCCTTTCTTCATAATAAAAGGAGTTTGGCATTTAAAGGAAGGCCTCCTACCCACACTCACTTGTTTGTCCCTTTAGTTAACAGCTACAGGGGAGCTTCTTTAAGCAGTGGCCCAGAGACAAAGGTGTGAAGGGCAGGGAATGTCTCACTTCCTGAAGGAAGGACACTTGTGTTTTCTCCCTGAGAGAATCACAGATGGCCAGAGCTAGATAGTGAACTAAAGACCACCTAGTTCAACCTCTCAGTTTACAGAGCAGGAAACAGGTTTAGGGAAGGGAACTGTCTTGCCCAAAGTCTCACAGTGAGTTAGTGGCAGCTGGTCAAGACTAGAATCCAAAAGTCCAAAATCTTAACCTATTGGATATAGAGTCTCCAATCTTAAGATCACCAATTCCTGACAGCCCTGTGCTTTCTCAAGAAAGGAAATTAGGGTTGTGAGATTTTGAGGGGAGAAGGACAGATTGAGGGGTAAAGTTAGGCTTAAAAAATTAGTAGAAAAACTGAGAAGCGTTACATATTTTTGCCTCAAAGACTAATCTTCCAATGGCATGCAAATTATACAAATGTGATTTTTATTTAGGGTCAAGAGCTCTGTCTGGTTCATTGGGAAGGGAAACAAGTGGCAGCCATAGCCAAATATCCTGACGCCTCAGAGATACCCCATGGTTTGCGGAGTTCTTTGCTACCATCTCTGGGGGTTGGGCAGCAAGAAAGGATCCTCGTAGGCACTGTGAGGAATTTACCCTAAATCTCAATCCACGCTCCTTTGCATTACAATGTAGCTATATTGAAAAACAAAATATGAAGGGAGGAAGAAAACATCTCACCTTCTGGGAAACTAAGGAGAGTTATAAGAGAAGGGATTGTAGAACTCTGAGTTAAATGAGACATTCTCTGAGATTTCAGACAAATTGTGGGGGTACCTCTACCCTTCTCCTTTGTTTTTTTAGTTTTGAGTTGTTGGTTTTCTTCTTTGATGAGGCAGAAGGAAGGTGGTGTGCTCTATAGTAACCCAAACCCTAAAAAGTGTGCTCAGTGGGCTGACATGCATGGTGGGTTCTGAAGTCATCTCACTCTGGTGCTGAGACTCCCTTCACCTCTTTGGACTTCTCCCAGATTTTTCTACAGTCCCATCCAATGCTTATTTTCTGAGCATGTGAGTCTGGGAGCCACTGATGAGCCCGGAGGTTGGCGGGGGGTGGGGGTGGGGCGGTGGGGGATACTAAGAGTTCCTAAACTCGAAGCAGAATCTTGGAGGGAGAAAGGCACCTCTGGGCGGCTTAGAGAGAGAATTATGGGTCTAGGTCAGCGGGGCAGGGGAGTTGCAAAATAAGCATTGACTGCTGACAAAGAAATAGATCCTAGTACATATCCTTCACATTTTGTCCATCACACCCTAATTGATAGCACAGGAAGCATGTGGAGTTTGGTCCCCATGCAGATTCATCCCTATACAGGGAATGTATAATAGACCTACTTGCCCAAATTGCATCAAGTCTGCTGTCCTGCAAACTTTTCTGACTCAGAGGACTTTTTTCTGGCCTCCAAGTCTTTCCTGAAGAAGCTGTTTTGGACAAGCTTCAAATACAAGCTGATCATCTGATTTAAAGCTAGATGGCTTCCTTTGAGTCACCTTCTTGCATTAACTTTGCATTAACCTCGAACTTTCATTGCCCTTTATAGTTCTGGGTTTCACAGCTTCTATTTCTATTGAGTTCCTAACTTGTCTCTTAAGTATAGGAAGCATGTTTTTTACTTTTATCAGGCTGGGAGCTAGATATCTGGACATAGGAATCTTAGAACACTTAAAACTCTTCGGGAGCATAATTAAGGTTCATCTGAATCCTTCTCAGCTCTGTGAATTCAGATTTGAGGAAATTAGAAGAGTGGTGACCATCGCCATCACTTTACCTACCAAGGCCATGTTCCCTGGGTGAAAGACCAAAGAGCCTCTTTGGTATCTAGTCCTTTGTTTCATGTCTAATATAACCTGTCATTTTCCTTTACAGGTGGCAGCAGCAGCAGGAGGGATGTCCTCTGAGGAATTTGGTAATGTCCATCAGTCACCTGACGTCTGGAGCCCTGGCAGATTTAGTCTCTTTCACAGACTCTAAATCCAGGTAGGGACCTAAGGCCCTCTGTCCTGTTTTTGTAAGGGATTCACACACACACACACACACACACACACACACACAGTCTCAGGGAAGTTCTTATTCCCAAAGATCTCCAGAGGAGTTTTCTTAGTGTTTTATTTGACCCGATTATGGTGTCCTACCTTCTGATTAGCAATTCCTCCCTCCTGGCTAGAGTAGTAACCCCCTTCATTGGCACTGGCGGTCATTTCATTCCTGTTCTTTTCTCTGCTAATAAGTATTCCTTAATGGTGCAATGCTGACACTGGTTACTCTCAGCCTCTCTACAACATCTACCCCACTCACCCACCACCTCATACATGCACATAGCCCTGCTTTCTTCTTCTTCCCCAAGAAGCTTGCTTTCTCCTTCTTTTGAGTCAGGATAGGGCATTGTTATCCCTTCTTACTATACCTCTCATCAGCTTCTCCACCTCCTTTCCAGGTTTGATGGGAGAGCCCCCCCTGTCCAAACACTGTGCAAGGTACCAGAAGTAGAGGCCTGCCAGCCTGCTTATACCCATCCTCAATGCCCAGAACTGAGCAGGTCACCAACCTACAGTGCCCACCCCTACCCTTCTTGCTGCCAGGTAGGTATGCTCCTCTCCCTAACCACCAACCCTAAACAGGCTCATGTTTCTCTCTGGGAATATTTCTCTCTATTGTTAAATCTCTCCAACAGGGGGAAGGCCTTGATGACTCAGCTCTCTGCCTTGGCAACTTCTAGTCCTAATTTTTAGAGAGAACTTCCTGATGTTAAATCTCCATTTCCTTTTCTATAATTCAGAACCATTTCCCCCATTTAGTGGGCGTGGGAAGAAGAGACCAATAAATGGGTAATATTTGATGCTGGAGGGGAAGGGTCTAATGACAGGCAGCCCTTCTCTTGGGGCTGGAAACCTGAAGTCCCAGATGTGTATTCTACTCAATGGTCTGGCATCCTTGGGGAGTACTTGAGTCTTTTGAGGGAATGGTTTTATCTGGTGTCCATTCCTGAGGACAAGGATCTCAGACTCTGAGAGTCTGTTCCTATTCATTCGCAGATCCCTCCAGGGAGTAGAGAATGGATTGCTGTAGGGCAGAAGCAACCAGTAGGTGACACTTTTTCTTGAGCTTAGATGGCAGCTCCTGTCTGGCGCCTGTAGAAAGTTGGCAGGGGTGCCAGAGCCTCTCCTGTCATTGACATTGGCATCAGCTTACCCCTTTTTTTTTAGTTTTTTTTTTTTGGTTGGGGGGTAGTAATTAGGTTTGTTTGTTTGTTTGTTTTTAATGGAGATATTGGGGAATGAACCCAGGACCTCATGCATGCTAAGCACACTCGATCACTGAGTTATACCCTCCCCATAGTTTACCTTAGGCCTCTTCTCTCAGCAGAGCCTCTCTCACCCCTGCAATTTAGACATCACAAGCAGTAGGCCTAAATAAGTGTCAGTTCTGGGTAAGGTGCTTCCTCCCCTGGTAGACACATACTTTGAGTTGGAGGTGAAGCAATTAGGATGGGTGAATGGAGGGACAGGGTAGGGACTAGAAAGTAGAAAATGTCTCTGGAAGTAGTCAAGCAGTAAGTATGAATGGGGTACCCTGATGTCACAGAGAGTACCCTGCCCACCTGTCTGTCAGCCTCCATGTCTGATACCGCAAAGCGGCTGGGCCGCATGGGCAGCTGCAGTCTTGGTTTCTGCCACACGAGGGCGCTGCCGACCAATTAAAACTCCTGCCCCTCAGCAGAGAAGAGTTTGGGTAAGGAAAGAGGGGAACCCTGCACTCTTTGCAGAAGGCAAGAGTCAGAAACATCCCTTGAGAGCCTGAGAGAGGATCCCAAAGACCCAGAAGAATAAATTAGTTGTTTTCCACTTGTTCTTCCTTAAAAATGTCCCTAGACCCTTAATACTCTGCCCTAGTGGCCTGATGTGTCAGTTTGTTCCCAGCTGAACTTGGGAAGCCCCTGAGCTCTAGGCACCAAACACCTTGCACGGGTGTTTCTTTCCCTCATGGTGGAGCAGACTCCAGCAGTCCGCTCTACTGTCCCCTGCCTCTAAGACAGTCACTTTCCAGACCAAAGGGCAGGGGTACCTGATTTTTCAGAGAAAAAAAATCTCTTAACCTATTTTTTGAAGAGAAGTAGCTCTTAAAGAAGAAAAGCTCTCAGGGGGAGGCTATACTTCAAGTGGTAGAGGGCATCTTAGCATACACAAGGTCCTGGGTTCAATCCCCAATACCTCCTCTAAAAATAAAGAAATAATTAAACCTAATTACCTCCCCCTACAAAAAAACAAACAGACCAAAAACAAAAAAGAAGAAGAAGTAAAGCTCTCTAAGAGAGTGTTGGGAGGAGGACTGAGAAGACAGAGAGTAAGAAAGTTCTGCCTTCTATGACCCCGTCACCTCCCCCAGCACAAACCTGCAGAGCTCAAGATGGTCTAGAGGATGTTTGCAGCCTGAGTGGCTGGAGGACACCCAGGACAGTCCAAGGCTCTGCGCCAAAAAAGGTGTCAGAAAGCAGGATGAGCATGGGAGCTGCTTTGGCCTCTGAGCCTCACACCGCCCCCAAACCGTGTAATGGCTCTGCTAGGGATCCTAGTGGCATGGAGCCCTGATGGGCATGAGGTATCCCAGAACTGATCCTCTGTCTCCATGAAACCCTTCCAGGCTGAACAGGCTAAGGGAGATGACAGAGGTTCTCCTCCCTCCTACCCCCATGCCTGAGGGCCCCTCCCCAGGAGGACAGCTTGATTAAACAGTCGGTGCTGCTGGAATTGCTGCACAGCTGGCGCTCCCCCCAGCACCCCGAGCAGAGCAGCAGCTCAGATTAAAATCTCCAATTAGCGTTAAAGTGAAGTGAGGAGGTACTGAGGCTGCCAAGGAGGCCAGGCGGGGGCCCTCGGTTGGCAGATACCCTCACTGCTGCCTAGATTCTGAGTGCCACCCTTAGTCACCCTTTTTTTCCTAGGTCCTCTCCCAACAACTCTCTGTACTTCCTAGCTTTACATTGCTTAGGGTCAGAGGGCTTTAGAGGGGTAGAAGGTGGGGCAGATGCCTTACCTGAGAAAATGCTGGGAACACCAAAAGTGTGGAGGAGAATGAGAACGATCAGTGCTCGTCAAGGGAGATGCCCTACTCACAGTGGCCTGCCTGCCAGGTTGAGGTGACTTCACACTACTGCTGCTGCTTTTTGCCTAGAGAAAGGGCAAATAGAACAGGTCCCTCCAGATCATCTTATCCATAATGTGCTGGGGAATGTGGTGCCCACACAAATGTCCATCCTTGTATATTTTATCCTGTTGGACTCATCTGCTCCCACCCAAATTATGGCTCCTTCCTTCCTCCTTCTGTTTTTTTATTCCCCCTCTCAGCTTTCTTGTGGGCAGGGGTAGGCACAGCCTGGCTTGGAAGCATTGCCATGCCCTGCCACCTGGGTCTCAACCGGCTTCTTGTTATCTTCTTTGCAGTTTGGAGAAAAGCAGGGATATACCAAGAATGGAGGCCTCAGTTTCCCCCAACTCCTGACCCCACATCCCCTCTTAAAGGCCCTCTACCATTTACATTTCTACCCAGCACTCACCAAGCCCTTAAGGAGGACAGCATAGCTAACCACACCTTTTGACTTCCCTCTGCCCCTTTAAGGGAAATGGAAGTGGGTACCCAGCTGACTGAACCTACTCACACCTCCAGAAATTAGACACCAGGGCACGGTGCCACCCTCCCAGGCTGGCACATGCTACCCTGGCAGAGGTTCAAATAGCTCCCCCCATACCCCCATCCCTATATCTTCCTCTTCTCTCTCCCTCTTTCTTCCACTCTCTCTCTCTTTTTTTTTTCTCAGCTCAAAGCACAGCTGAGCCTTAAAAGTGTGGGGGGGGGGGGACCAAGCTGGGGCAGGGGGGTAGAGAGCTCCAATAGCACGTTTTCACCTGCCATTTAATTGGATGTATTTTTAATTAATGGGACCTCAGGGACCAACATGAGACAATCTGATCTCTGAATAGAGACAGGGGAGGGATTGGGTTAGGGAGGAGGATTGGGCCACTGGGTGCGGTTACCAGGAACCCAGGACCATCAATCACTGGCCACTTTGCGTTCTGGCATGGAGAATAGCCAGGTGGAGGAAGAGAGGAGGCACTGGGGAGAGGTGCCAGAATTTCCCCTAAACTGCCAGGACCTTCAAAAAGGGTGGGACTGTACCGGTTGACTCAGTTCTGGGGCCCAAAATTGCAGCCACGATATTAGGTAAGGCTGTTTTCTTGCTCCTGGGGTTTTGTCCAGTTGGGCTTGTCCCAGTGAGTGCTGTAAAACAGTGAAAGGGTGGTGGGGTCAGAGCTTTGAGGTCCTTGAAGAGACAGGATAAGAACTAGGGAGTGTAGAACCAGAGACTGTGGTGAGAGGGAGGAGAAGGGCCGCGTTTAGAGATATTTCTGTGTGTTTAGGCATAAAATAAGTGCCATGGAGATTACATGCAAAACAGCATGCAAATGAGGCCTGGTGCCTTTTGGGTATGAATCATAGAACCTTACTGTTGCAAGGAAGAGAACTTGGAGCTCATCTTGACGAACCACTCATTTTACAGATGTGGAAATAGAGACCCAGAGAAGGGAAATCAGTTGAATCCTGTCTTGGAGTTGCTTTGTGTTCCTGGATTTGGAGAGTTCCTGGGAACACAGGGAAAGGTAGGTAAGTAGAGTGTGAGGAGGAAAGTCAAAGGAAGAGGGTTGAAAGGATGTTACTCTCCATTGCTTGGAGTCTCATATCTCTGACCCTTGAGTCTTGAAAGCAACTCAGGGGCGTTGGGTGCATTATTGGGGGAACATTTCCCTCATAAAACCTATTCCAGAGGTCATCTTATCTATTCCCTTGCTTCCAAGTAGACAGATCCCCCAGAACCTTCCACTCTCATGGGATTTTACTATATTCTAAAAGGGAAGAATATACACCAACTACCCCACTTCCTTAACTAAGAAATAAATCCCCCAATAATGACTAAATATTGAGCCTTTTCTGAGATCTTATCACAAATTTCTCTGCTGCAGTATAAGCTGCTAGAGAAAATAATGCCAAAAAATGTAGCGAGGAGTGGTCTTGTCCTATGTCTAAGCTGAGAACAGAGACAAAATTAAAACTCAAGGCTCTGAAAGCTCAGTGAGAAATGCCCCTGTATTCATGCAGTGCCATGGCCCCAGAGCTCTTAGTCAGGCCCCATCTGGCTCCACGTGGTGTTGGGGAACACTGGACAGGAGGGCACGTTTCCAGCTATCCTCCCATCCTACCCCCTCCCTCACCTCCTTCACTGTTCAGACAACAAGGTTAAGAAAGAATGATGGAGAGGAGCTTGCCTACCAAGTTACCAAAGATGGCATTTCCTGGCATATTCTTCCTTCCTAAAAAATTCAACATTCTTTTTTCTGTGCTCCACGAGACTAAGTTGGAGTCAGGGCAAGGATGGGCACAGAGCTTGGAAAGCAGTCACAGAAACTTTGTCACACTCTCCAAGCACCCAACACTTATCCCCTACTCCAAGAATTGTCTTCTCCTCTATCTTAGTACCCCATTTAATATCCCCAAAGCCCCTAGGGAAGAGCAGGATGTGTCTCTCCAAATACCCCCAAACTTACCCCACAGTGTTCTTAGACCCTCAGGGCCATCTCCTTGGCTACCTGATTCTCTGCCTTCTCTACTATCAACAAGATGAGGAAGGCCCCCTTCCATTGCCCTAAGACAGTCTGGATAGAATCTTTGTAGCTCCTGCCCTGCTTCTGAGGGGCTGCGGGGGTGGGGGTGGGTGAGGAAAACTGTGCAGAGAGTTGAAAAGGAAGATTCTCTTCTCGAGGGAGATCAGGGAGAAGCCTGAAAGAGGGGAGAAGCTAAAGAGGGGAAATTTGGAAACAGACCTGTAGTCCCATCTCTGGGGCTGGCTGCCTAACGTAAGGCAGGCCATTCATACTAAGCATTGTTTGAGGGATTTATTCGATGGCTCCTATTTACAGAGCTGCTGATTCTCCTCTGAAATGCAGAGCAGTAGAGAAGGCATGCAGTAAAGAAAGGCTTTCTGTAGGCCCTCTTTCTCACCCTTTGTCCACCCCTACTCCAAAATTGGAGGGGCTAAAAGGCTTTTAAAGCATTCAGTCTAGATTCTTGATGTTTCTTTGAGGAACAGGGGCTCCCTTCCCTCAATCCCCAACAGTCTTGCCTCACACTCCTAAGGTTTAGCCAAGGGTACCAGATCTATAGCCTTGGAGTCAGAGCCTGGAGCCTGCTCTGGAGTCTGGAAGAAACCCTGAGCCTTTGCAGAGAAGTAAGTGGAAGGAAGAAACAGCAGTACCCAGAGTCCCCTGCCTTCTGGAGAGGAGGGAATTGTTAAGGAGCTCAGTATTGGCCCAGGGTGTAGCTTTTACACTGATGGGACTCCTTTCCTCCTTCTCCCTCAGTGTGTGTCCCACTGGTTGGTGAGAGACCTGGATGTCTGAACCTCCCACCTTGACACCTCGAAGGTTATCACACAGATCCCCTCTCTAGCTTCTAAAGCCATGGAGGAGGTGAAGGAAGGCATTTCAGAAGTGGCAGTGCCATGATGTCCATCGGCACCCAGGGAGAGAAGCCAAGAGAAGAAACTGACCAGAGAGGGAGCCAGGAAGAGATGCCTGCTCTTGAAACAGTCTTCTTACCCCATCCCCTTCCGCGTCCCCTTTCACATGCCGACAGGGCTGTGTGCCCAAGTGTGCCAGCTCTCCTGGCTGGTGATCCTGCTCTGCCATGCAGGCAGCTGGCCCTCTGCTGCAGCACTGAGCACATGCTGGGGTCTCTCACTTCTTTCCTCACTCACCTCAATGTATCTGTGGTGCAGATTCCTAGGGTTGAAGAAGGGGGCTCTGGCCCTGCGAGTAGGAAGATGGTGGGCTCTGGGGCTCTTGGGGTGTGTATCTGGCTGGCTGGAGTGGCTGTGGGGAGGGAGAAGGCTGTTGGCAGCTCAGCTGAGCTCAAGATTCTGGTGACTCACAGCAACGGGGGTGGCTCATGAAAACAACAGAGGGGAAGGGGGTCTAGGCCTGTTAGAGCTCTCTTCTGCCCCATTTCTCCCCCACTCTGAGCTTTGTGGATGGAGTCTCTCATCTAGATTGTGGGGCGAGGAGATGCCCCAGCTAAAAAAGAAAAGAAAGAAATGGAAGAGAAGATAGCAGAGGAGGCTGAGCATTCCCAGGGAGAGGCTTCCCAGAGGGGAAAGGGTGGTGGAGGCCCTTTATTCTTGCCCTACTGTATCCGTGGGCAAGGTGCTGCTCACACCTCGCTTGGTGCACCCTCTGTGCGTCAGCACCCAGGGAGAGAAGCAAGAGAAGAAACAGTGACCAGAGAGGAAGCCAGGAAGAGATGCCTGCTCCTGAAACAGCCTGTAGGTACAGAGGGTACTGTGCTGGGGCAGCTCAGCGCTCATGGGCACCTCCCAGGAGAGGGGCTTTCCAGGCAGACACAGCTACTCCTCCCTGCCCTCACTTGCCTGCCCAGAGCTCTGGGTATTCAGGTGACGTAGAAATTTAAAAACAAACAAACAAAAAGACACTATTACAAGACCAGAACTAGAAGGATTACCACTTGGTCTCAATACTCTCTTTCCTAGAAACAGAAACCATGATCTTCAAAGGTGCTGCTTCCCTCATCCCTTACAGGCCAGGTGGGCAATGTGCATTTTCTCCAGACTTTCTGAATCAGGGAGATGGTAGGATACTGTGTTTGAGGTTACATCAGCAGAACAGAGCCAGAAAGTGGATCAGGAGAGCCAGCCATGCCTCTGACCAGAGTCCTGGGGGCCTCCTTGTTTCAGCAAAAGGAAATAGGAATCTTGGATACCAGTGTATCCAGACACACGATAAATATCCTCCCTCCAACCTTAGAGAAGAATAGGTTAAGAGGGAGGGAGTTGTCTGACAGAGACTAAGTTTTCATTTGCCTGTTTATACTCCTTTCACTGCTGGTGGCTCTGCTGTCCAGTTGGGATGAGGGGCCCTCTGCCAGGATGCTCCTGAGGATCCAGAGACAGTTTGGGCTGGAGAAAGGGACAGACCAGCTACTCTTTTTGTAGGGAGAGGGGACCAGCTCCACTCCACCAGCTCTCCCTGGCAGCATCAGGAGCCCAGGAGCCCCTGCTGAAACACCCATAATAAAGCTCAGTCCTGAATTGAGGTGACATATCACCTGGCTCTGGTATAAAAGTGGTACCGAGAGGGGAAGCCTGAGTACACCAAGTGGGGTGTGAGCAGGTGTGGGGAGTTCAGCCCCAGGACGGATACAAAGATCACTCACTCCTCAATACCACATGTTCCTCCTCTTTCTCAAACCTTCTCCTCAGCCCCCCTTTTCATCCACCTCCCTTCAGCTGACTCCACTCCTGGCTACCTCATGCCCTCCAAGCAGAGAAGACATGGTAAGTCGTTGTCTGTTCCCTACACTTTTCTCTCTCTTACTCTCCTCCTTCCTCCCAACTCGCAGCCAAGAGTTACCCCGTTTGAACTCATTCTACCAGTGAATGCCCTCAGGATCTGAACCCAGAATGCCCAGCCTCTACCACCCCCCTGACTCTGCGAATGCCACTCTGGCTCTGAGACTGACTCATCAGTCCACATCGTCCACACAAGTATAGCCAGGCCAAGACTGGCATATCCACTGGCACCAAGGGCCCTGACCTGAAGCAAAGGGCAGCCCTAGAGGTACAGTCAGGTTTGGCCCTAAATGTGTATATTCCTGTGCATTGGGTACACTGGTTTATTAGTGTTATTTCAGCATTGTGATGCAAAGAGAGTAAGTGTAACAGCTGCTCCTTGCTTGCAGTGTTTATTGTTACCTAGAGACAACCTCCTGGCTTTTTCCCAGCTCCCCCTCCCCCCCCACCCAACCCCCTCCCTGCCAACAATCCTACTCTCCCCACACTGATGGGAAATTTATAGCTTGCCATACCATGCCTTTAACCCTCTCCTGTCCATAGGTATGTAGGTCAAGGGAAGCCAAAGGGAGCAGTCGGCATGCCTGAGCCCCAGCACGGTAGAATAGTGTGTGGAGGAGAGAGGGAAGGAGGGAGGGAGGGAGGGAGTACACCTCCTCTCCCCAGTCTGTGTCCAGACTCAGGCCCCAGTTTCCCTCCTGGCTCTCATGTTGAGAGAAAAGAGCTTTGGACCTAGTTTGGGGATCCTAGGATCCTCCACACAGGACTATTCTCTTGGTATCTCTAAGCCCCCTAGTTGGGCTGGCTGGTCCTGAGCAAATACAGCAAGGTATACTGAGACAGAAGGAATAAATACAGAGTGGCAGAAGCTCCAGACTCCTCCTTTCTATAGAGATGTCACATTGAGGCAAACAAGAGGCTCTGGTGTGAAGGATGCTGGCCAGACCTCCACAGCTGGGTAGATGTCAAACATGAAGCCGGCTGCTGAGCCTGGTGAGGTAACTTACCCACCTTAACTTCACCCTGAGCCCAGCACTAACCTCCTGAGAGGGTCCCGGGCCGTCCTCCAAGCTGGTCTCCTTGGTCTGGTTAGGCTTCTCCCTCTACTTTTCTTCTCGGTCCCTTTTCACCTCATCTTTTGGTTTGAAACCATGGGGGCCAAACCAAGAAACCAAGGGGACTGAGGCCTCAACAGTCCTGGGGAAAGAGAAGCTCCTCTATCCCCTCCTGACACAGGACCTTTCATGGAGGGGCACCATGTCACACATCCACCATCCCCACTGGAAACAAGAGAGGAAAAGGGATTGGATTTTAGCAGAAAGGATATAGGTTAGACATATGGAAAAACTTACTCGTGGGATATAAGACCTCAGAATGGACTTACTTCTCTTTAGAGATTTTTCTTCTGCCTGGGATGGGTGTAAGTCTGTGTCTACCCAAGCAGCATCGGGAGAACAGGGTTACTTTTCTGGGGCTCCTGCAGATGTGGGCCTCAGTGCAGTTTCCACGCAGCGCACCCCTCCTCAGTTCTTCTAAATGTAGTATGTGTGGTGATTAGACTAAGTTTTGGAGGCAGGCAGCCTTGAGTTTTAATGTCAGGGCTGCCATTTACCAGCTATGCTACCTTGGTATGTCACTTAACCTCTTTTAACCCTACTTTCCTTGTCTGTGAAATGCAGATAAACAATTTTTTAAGGTGGTGAAGAGAATTTAGTGAAATAATGTATGTAAAGTACCTAGGACGGTGCCTGATACTGACTGCATACTCAGTCAACAGTGGTTGATACAACAGAGTCTATTACTTTTATGGAGTCCCCAGGGCTGACATTGCTTCAAAGACTCCATGAGCCACCTGGAATTATAGGCCAAATGTGTGTATATGCATTTCCTGGGGAGAATGTCCATAGTTTTGTTGATGATTTGAAGCAGGCAGTCTCCTGGAAAGAAAAGAGCCCCAATCCTTTGACTCAGACTCCCCAAGAAGTCAGTTCCCCCATTCCCGTGCCTCAAGCTAGGAGCTCCTTAGGCATGTTCTGCCCGGAAGCACAGCTTCATCTAGGATTAAGCCATGTAGCCATTAAGATAGCAACACAGAGCACTTGCCAGTCATGTTATAGTTTGTCAAGTACATTTACCTGCATTAGGTCTATTAATACGCAGAACATCCCAGTAAAGTGAAGAGAACTACCATTTAGTGAATGCCAGGCATTGTGCTGGGTGTATTTTTTTAAAGTATGTTTAAAGTCTATAGAGTATTTCATAACCTATATATGCCATGATTTATAAAGTGTATCCACTTTTTAATAATTTAGATATGTTTACTGTTATAAGTAATACGACAGTGATCATCCTAACACGTGAAACTTCATGCATTTTTTTATAATAAGTTCCAAGAAGTGGAATTATTGGGTCAGCCAATACAGATATCCCTCCTCCCTATAGTTATGATCATTTTATTGATGTACCATAATAAGAATAATATTTTTTAATACTCTTCTTTGGAATTCTTCAATGGAAACACAAGGGCAGCCCCTTCTCTTTCCTATACCCAGCCGAGACATTAATAATCTATCATAGGCTTTTTTTTAAAAAAAAAAACTGAGGTAATTGTAGATTCACATGCAGTTATAAGAAGTAATACAGAGAGACCCCTTGTACATTTTGCCCACTTTCACCCAATAGTAACATTTAAAAAAACTATAGTATAACATCACAACCAGAATACTGACATTGATTATCTACCAGTCTTAGTCATATTTCCCCAGTTTTACCTGTGTTTGTGTGTGTGCGCGCATGTGTGTGTGTGTATTAAGTTCTATGCAATTTTATTACCATGTGAATTCTTATCTCTACCACTACAGTCAAGATACTGAACAGTTCCAACACCACAAGGATTCTTCATGTTGCCCTTTTATAATCACACCTACCTCACCCTCTTCTTAACCCTTGGCAGCCACTATTCTATCCTCCACTTCTAAAACTTTGTCATTTCAAAAACGAAGTCATGTACTATGTTACCTTTTAGGATTGAATTCTTTCACTCAGCATAATTCTCTGGAGACACATCTAAGTTTTTGTATGTATCAGTAGTTTGTTCCTTTTATGTGTTTCATGATATGGATGTACCACTATCACAGTTTAACCATTCACCTATTAAAGAACAGTTTGTGTTCTCACTTTCTACTCACTAGCAATTAATGAAATAGCTTATTTTACTTGGTGTGCTGAGTGTTGTTTTATATCACAAATATTAAGTTTATTAAACCTTCAGGCATGACTATCACCTATTATTATTTCCATTTCGTAGATGGGGAAAATTAAGGCTCATAGTAAATGACTTTCCCACAATCACATGCTGTGGCAAAGAAGTACTTAGAACCCAAGACAGTAGGCTTTCTCAGTCTTTGACTAAGGTTGCTGGAAAGAGCGTGTGGGCAGAACCAGAAGAGAAATGTTGGAGGCAGGAAGAACATTGGAGCAGCCTGGGTCAGTTCGGGTCTTCATAGCTAACTTTCGTTCATAGGTTAGAAGAACAGTGCCATGGAGCAGGGGACAATAATGGCTTGTGCCCTGGAAATTGTTTCCCCTTTGCCAGAGAAGAACAAGGCTGAAGTGGATGGAGCCCATGAACAATCTGCCCACAGACTTGGGACCTGGAAAAGGGAGGACCCAGCCTTTGGGTATCTTATCAGAGCATAAGTGGTCAAAGCTCTCCTTGGAAATTTGAAGTTGAATGTGTCTCTGATGACGTCTGAGGAAACTGAGGCTCATGACAACAAGTGAGCTCTTTATTCCGGAGGTTGGGGGTGTGGGTAATGAAGATACAGCATTAAAATTTTTTTTTGATAGTTGTGGGGAACTCTAGGCCATTTACACACACGCACACACACACACACACAATCACACACACCCTTGGGTAGGCTCAGTGTCTGGGACATGGTATGAGGGAAAGCAGAGTGGAAGCAAAAATGCCAATCCATGCTTAGTCCTGACTTTATCATTGCTCTTTCTCTCCAAGTCATGGACAGCTAAGTCAGGAGGAGCTGGAGAAATCATTTGGTCTATCTCTCAGCCTCTGGGCACTAGTAGAAGCTGACAGGTGGAAACCTAGAGTCGGCCCAAGTGTGATGAATGGCAGAGATGCCAGCTTGCAGGAGAGAAGGTTTGGCTTTTCTCCTGGGAGCTATGTCTGGCCAAAGGCTGCCTCCTCCCACCTCCTGCTGGAACCGAATTTTTTACAGTTGATGTTACCATTGCTCCCTTGGTCTGTTCCAGTGGTTATGGACTTATAACTTTCCCTGTCTACTTACAGCTCCAGAACCAGGCTGAGGGCACGTATCACTTTCCTCCATCTCCCTTGGCCCATCAGGAATGGCACAACTTCTTCCAGTGGTGCCCTCCATCCTTCCCAGTAATTCCAGCCATGGGAGATAAATGCTAAGGGCTTCAGGATTTATAGGGACTACATTGCATTGTTGAAACAACCAGAGATACCCAGTATGAACCTCTGTCTTTTGATTGGAGGTTCTTAGGGAAAAGTAGGCCACTCTTTACTGGCTCTTATCCTCACTGAAATTTCCTGACTGTCAGAGGTCCTGAACGTGGAGATAGCTCCTTTCCCTTCAAGCCAAGATGGCTCCTAACCAGGAAACCTCAGGATCCCTGCTTATTCCCTTTCCTTGACTGCCCCTCTACTCCAGGTACCCTCCTCTCCTGCCACCACTCCTTTCCCATTCCTCCTTTCTCTTTCTCTATCCATCTTTCTCCCTCTCTCTCTCTCAGCAAGTTTTTTATGTGATTACAGGCACTGCATGGTAATTAGTGCTAAACTCATTTGCACAACTACAGTTAATTGGCTACAACAATTAATTAATGTGTTGGAAATTTGGCACTGGAAAAAAAAGTTTGTCATCAAAAAAAGGGCAAAAATTGTAGAATGAGATACCCATAAAAATCGAGGGCAGGCTTCAAAAGCCCAGCTGGGCCTCAAACTTCAAGCTGGCCTCAGATGCCTTCTCACTCTCAACTTCAACACATTTTCCTGTTTCCTCTTTCATTTTTTCCTTCTTCTTTTCTCTATTTCTTTTCTTGCTCTCTCTCTCCTTTTCTTTTTCTTTTTTTTTTTTTTACAACTTAAGCAAACTCATTTCCCTGATAAAATATAGCATGACTAATGGCTAGAGCATGTAAAAATCATTGGGAAAATGTCCTTGGAAGACGAATGCATTTTCAGCAGAATAATTAACTTAATTAACAAATTCACATGCATATTCATCAGGCTATTAATGTCTTCTCGGCTCAGCTTGATGAACATTGCGGTAATAACCATCTCATTTACATACTGCATTCTACTGCGATCCAAAACAGAGACAACATACAGGCGTATACACACACACACACATACACTTGCACCAACACACACAACATGCCTCGGCCGCTTTGACTTCCAGGTTGTCTGGGAGTGTGTGTGTGTGTGTGTGTGTGTGTGTGAGGAGGTGAGAGGGTGAGAACCCTGACTGGGTGGCGTGATCTTTAGAGGGTCATGAGTGACACGGGCTAACTATGCCCACATGTAAATGTCTGAGAGAACTTTAATTCTTTCTCTCAGTCACTCACACTCAGTCTGTCTCTTTTTTCCTTGTTTCCTTTTCTCTGTGTCATTTTCTTCCTTCTTCTCTATCTACCCACCCCCCACCCGCCCCAACCATGTCTCTCTAGGGAAAAACTTGGTATCTGTGCCAACTTTTTCCCCCCTCCCCTCCTCCCTCTCTCTCCTCCTTCCCCTCTCCCAACTGCTGCCAGCCGGCATCAGCGCCGAATTGCCATCTCCTTGAGCTCTCTGTGGAGCAATCTCAGAGAGCAGTAAGGTGTGACGCGGGGCTCTGCCGGCTTCGCAGCACCGCCTGCGGAAAGAGCGCAGGATGGCGGAGGAAGATTAAGAGAAATCGCGAGCAGGGCTCGGCTGCCATTGGTGTGTGCAAACGCCGAGGAGGAAGGGAGAGGGAGAGCGGGGGGGGGGGGGGTAGAAAGGGAGGGGGGAAACCGGCAGCTGTCGGCCTAATTCTTCTAACACTCTGCTTGTGGTCATATTAGAAAAACAGATTATGCCCCTCGGTGCCACTCACTTATACTTGACATACGTTAATGTTCTATATCTCCATTCTCGGGGCTTGACGACAGTGGACTTCAGATCTAGAAGGATGGGGATCTGGGTGGCCAACGGGCAAAAGACCTTGCCTCCTCATTCTTCCTGACTTCCAACCCCAGTCTGTACTTGCCCTTTAGAAAGGAAGCCTAGGCCTAGAATTTGCATCTGGGTGCCACCACTTGTCCCTGATTTTTTCAGCCCTTTAGGGGGTGCAGAGGTCAGAGGACACCTGGAAGCCCTTTCCCTAAAATCACTCCCCCCTTTAGAGTCATAACAGGTCACTTTAGAGCCAAGTGAGACCGGCTTTGTGTCACCCCCACCCCTTGTCTTTCTAAGGGCCCTCTCCCTCGAATCAGAAGTTGGAGGTCAGAGAAATGAGTCTATGAAAGTTGGTTCTCCGTCAGGGGGTTACATAGAAGCCATAAGCAAAACAAGGCCAGGATTGTTTCTGGGTTGCTATGGGAACCAGATTCCCTCCTCCTGGCTGGAAGGGAGGAGTGCCTGAGGCCTTCCTCCTTCCACCAATCCTGAAGGGTATAAAGGCGGAGTTTGCTAAGGCCTGGGGAGTGGGGCTGGTCTTGGAGGACCAACCAACCATTCCCTGGAAGCCCCACCTGCCAGTCTATAGCCCTTTGACCCCCACCTTCCCTACCCTCACCCCAATATTCAGTCAAAGGAGGCTTTTTCCTCTAGGTGCCTTGTCCTCTGTGGAGACCTGTTGCTTAGCAACCACTAGTGCCTTTTTCCTAATAACTCACAGGGACTGAGAGATACAATATCTGTCTCTATATTCAGTTTCCCTCCCTTGTCTATTTATATTTAATAGCTGAAGCCCTGTCTTGGGTTCCCTTGGCATATGTTTTAGAGTGAACAAGCTGCATCCTTATAAAGTCACACCTGAGAAAGAACTTCCAAAGAGGGAAGAGAGGGAGAAAAGATGAGTAGGTTGGGGAACTGTGGAATCATATTCTCTTAAGTATAGATAGAGGGGGAAAAAATAGTATTTAGAACTGGGAATGTGGGGAGGGGCTGTCCACAGGGATTCCCAAAGATACTCTCAGGACCTGGAATAGATGCTTCCTGGGCCGGCATTTTCTGCTCCCCGCACCCTGCCCTGCCCCTCCTTCCTGACCACTTCCAGCCTAGAGCCCTCTCATATTTCTATATGTGGGAGACCCATCCCTCTGGGGATGTCCAGTTTTCTAATGTCTGGATGTTGGTAGCTAGGAGTGGGGTGCTGTGTGTCCAACAAGGCCTGGGTATCCCGAAGTTTTCCCTTCACAGGGAAGGAATTCTTCTGAGCTCTCTACTGAAAAACCCCAGACTTGACCTGGCAGTGGAGACAGTACAATAATCACCAAAAATGAGGAGCAAGGAAGGCCCAAGGGTAGCCTAATGGCGGCATGTAGTCAGGAGGCCTGAGTTGTGGCCCCCTCTCCTTACTCTCTTGTGATCCAAGTTATTTACTTAATCTTTTAAGCCCCTTGTTGCTTTATCTGTGGGTCAAGAATAATAATAAATAATGTTCACCTCCCTGGACTTGAGCAGGATCAGTTAAAGTAATACGTGAAAGGAAAACACCCTGGAAGCTATTACATTTAACTAAAATATTATTTTAAGGTCTGGCAAAGGTCTGACTGCTGGGAAGAGGGAGGCATCATGAATCCAGCCCGGCCCTGGGCTTACGAAGGCCATTAGTTTGTTGGCTAGAGTGGTGTGATTCCCCTCTGGTCGCTGGGGTAGGGAGCTTTAAATCAAAATCAAACACAAAGCTGTCTAGGGAGAGTAGCATGTGGTATCCCTATTCTCCCCACCTCCATTCTTAACCTCTGACCTCTAGTTCTCCCTGTCGAAGCTCCGTGCTGACCCTCCACCCTTCTCCCCAGTCAGCACCTTCACTGCTCTTGTGCTAGCTCACAGACTACAGTTTCACCCTCTATACCTCCCTTCTCGGCACCTCCTCCAACCCGAGCCTTCTGTGGGAGACAGATGGGGTGTCTGCAATGGAAAAGGCTCTGGGCTCTACGCCGCCTTGGGTAGGCAGCCCCCCTCCTCATCTCCCCACTACTCCCTCTCCCTACCTAAGACACTCAGATTCACCCCAGGCAGCTTTGGTAACTGCTGAGGATTCCAACTCTCTTCCCTTCTCAGACACAGCCCCAGAATCAGAGCCAGAATGGCATCTTTCTTTGAGACCTAGATCTCAGTCCCTCTTCATGGAAGACCAACGCAAAGGAAGAAGTAGGTTGCGGGATGTTAGGGCTCTGTGTATAGGGACTGATGTGGAGAGGGAGGGAGAGGCCCCCGAGTCCCTCACTGAGGACTGGATGGCTGGGTTTTAGGGCCTGAGTTGACAGAGGAGGCTGAGCCTAGGCAGTTCCTTTGTTCCAGAAATCTGAGGTCCCTAGAGGGAGGCTCAGCTTAGGGAGGAGGGAAAGGGAGCTAACATTACAGAGCACCAACTGTGATCCAGGCATAATGCCAGAGCCTTTCCATACCTGTACTCATAACTAGCAGGTGAAGAGTCAGGGCAAATAGGTCTTTCATGAGCTCTCAGCATCTCACGGCACAGTTGACCACCTCCTTCTTTGACTCTGTGATGTCACTGCCAATTCTCCTACCACTCTGGCTGCTCTTTCTCTGTTTCCTCTGCAAGCTCATCCTCAATTCCTTAGACTCAGCCAAGTCCCCCAGTTATATACTTTCATGATACTATATATCCTTTTTTCATAGCATTTAGCACAGTTATTTCATACTTATTTGTGCAATCATTTGAATAATGATCCTGTTTCCTCCCACCAGATGAAAAGTTCCACAAGGATTGTAACCATGTCTATCGGTGTTGACCACTGTGCTCCCAGTGCCCAGCACAGTGCCTAGCATAAAACAGCTGTTTCGTAAATATTTGTTGATAAATGAATAAATGACAAAAGGACATCTCTCTGGCCTGAACTCAGCTTCTTAGCCACTCCCTACCACAGAGCTGACTCACCTGTAATACATGGACCAGGGAACAAGATGCCTGGGAGGCCAGGCCACCTCGTTCTCCCTGGAAAAAGCTGTCAAGATAGGACTAGCCCAAGTCCCAGGATGTGGAGCCCCTGCCCCAGCCTACCCCTGCCTGTTGGCTCTCCAGCTCCTTCAGAGAATGAGAGAATTAAAAGTCCCAACATCTCCCCATATTGGGGCATAAAATCACCCGTGAGCTGGAAGGGAGGAGTTCCACTGGGGAAGGGTGCTCTGCATAAAACCACTCTTTTCTGTCTTAGCTGAGACTGCAGAGACCATCTGCTGCCAGCCCTCTGTTTGCTTCTGTCTTCTTCCCCTGGGCTTCAGGGAAAGGGATGGTTTGACCAAGTGGGAGGGATAGATGGTAAGAGCAGGACAGGTGGCTTTTTCCTTGAAACATCTTGGCTGGTGATGAGCCTCAGCCAGGTGATTGGAGTAGAGGAAACACAGGATCTAGCAGCCTCAAGTCCTTTGGAGATGAAATCTCTAGACCTTAGGAAGCAGGCATAGACAAAATGACGTCTAGGAGGTGGCCAGCCTTCAGCCCAGGGCTTTATCTGACTTCTTTGCTGCCTTGCCATCTGACCTCAAACAATATTCTTGAGTTTTCAGGAAGTTAGAGTTAGGCCAGGCCCAGCAGCCCCTTGCTCTCCCTGGCCACTCCTCATTCTAGTCAACCACCCAGCCCAGAGCATCTTTCCCACCCAGCTCAAAGCCAATACCTAGTCCTTGTGATGGCTTCTCACCCAGTCCCCCTCAGCACCCGGGTACCCAGGGTTATGGATCTGGAAGCCATTCTAGGCATTGTTGCTCTCTCTGACCCCACCTGTTCTCTGGGCCCCTAATGAAGTATGACAGCTCAGACTATGGACCAAGTCCTTGTGTCCTCATCAAAAGCAACATCTGTCCTCTCCAAGAAGATAACCCCGTGGAAAGGGATGGGTGAGACAGGCACAGGGTAGCAACCTCCATCCTGCCTGGGTCTTCACCCCAAATTCCACTGCGGGCACAGATTAAGAGTGAAGGCCAAGACAGCCACAGAGGCCTACACTCACACATACCCCCTGCACAGGCCTTCATGCCTCTGAGGCTCTAAAAATGAGGGCCCCTCCTTGACTCACCCAGCTACCTGGGCTGCTGCTGCTGCCAAGCCAGCCTTCTTTTATTCATGCGTTGTTTTATTGCTGGCAAATGCTGCTGCTTGCCGCTGTTGGAGGCGTTCCTGCCAAATCCATCCCAACATCTTGGCCTGGCATCAGGGCAGCATGCTAATGTGGAAATTTAAAGAGCCGCTCGGCTTTAAATCGGAATTTTAAATGAGCAGCAGTGCTCCAGAGGGACCTGGGCAAAATCGAACAGTATCTGATCCACCCTTCCTATTCCCACTCCCCTAGCATCACCCCACTTCCTCCCACCTCTCCCCTTGACTTGGACACCAGATGAGGGACACACTAGGGGAAGAAGGAATTAATGGAAGAGGGAGTCATCTAGGCCAGTAAGGAGCTGGAATCCCCCAGCTCAGGACCAAGAAGGGACCTACTGCTTGCTGTCGTGGGCAAATGGAGGCAGGGAACCTCTACACAAGGGAGCAGGGCTGGGGATGGTGAAACTGACTTTCCTACCTCACGTCCTATTCTACCAGGAAACAAGAGAAGGCCCAGAGCAGAGAAGAGGGAAGGCAGAATTCCATGAAGATACTTACATGCAACATACACTTGTGTACACTGGGATATGTGCACGCAGCTGTGCATGCAGGTCAGGATGCTTTCTGAGTCCCACTGTAGCATGTATACGTGCACCTTGTATATCACCCATATGTGGAGAAGAATTATTCACATATGCAGCGCAGTCTTTCTTCCCATATATAGGCCACTGTCCTAACTAGAGCAAGCTGTTTTCTGTAAGTTGCTAGCCTGAACTGTGCCCCAGGCTTTTCCATGAATCCTAATGCACCAACATTCCCAAGCTCCTGGCAGCTAAATACCTTGAGTTAGCTGTGGTGGTGACAAAGCCCCACAGCAATTCTGCCAGGATAGGGTTAAGGGGCACCTGAGCTCATCCTATGTAACTGTCTTGGCTATAGTGTGGTGCCTTCTCTGGTGACCATCAGGTGACAGGCTCAGATATCACATCTGGGAGAGGTGCTGGGCATAGACTTGGTTTTAAAGGGAAGAGGGGGGCTAATGGGAGGTGAGAGAGGCAGAATCTGTGTCTCTCTGTGGCTCCCTTTCCTCCTTACCTGTCTCCAGGAGACAGGTGGCCCCTCACTATCAGAAGACCTTTATTGAGTGCCTACCCTCAGGGAGACACTGTGCTTTGTTTAGCCCAGTGTCTCATAAGTTTCTGGACTAGGTTGGTGACAACCCCAGAATTTGGATGTGTTGTCCCCATTAGAGGATCCATAATAACTCCCATGGTAACCTCAACCTTATCCATGTTAGGCTACCAGGCTAAGGGATGCTTCCTGGCCTTCCCCAGGATTCCCCCTCCCTCAAAGAAGGAGCCATCTCCTCCGTGGGCTGGTGTGGCTGCCAGCCAAGAGGCTTGGGGCAGGCTTTGGGGCATGCAGCTGGCACCTGCCCACCAGATCCCCAAGGAGCACCCTCCTCCCTGACTCCATAGCCCCATTCAGATGGCCCCTGGGCTACAGGGAGACAGAGCTCACTGCTCCCCATTCCCGAAGAAAGCCTCAAGCTGGAAAGCCCATCACCTCCCTTTCCACTGCAACATACTCCAAGATCCTCTACTCAGACTAGATATACTAAAGACCCACCAGGCACTTTTTCCAGGCAGGACTAAACACTTAATGCAGTAGGCATTGGGCTGGGGCTAGGGGAGGGGCCTTGAGGGGTGAAGCCTGGGCTGGAATTATGCGAGAAATTGCTGAGGTCAAGAGATGGTTGAGGAAGAAGAACTCAATGGAAGTGAGGTAGGACAGGGGAGCATGAAGGGAAGGGGCTGAGTGAATCTGCGTCTCTCATCTAATTAGCAGCATGCAAATAATATGCAAATAATCCCTCTTTGTTTAGAGACCACAGGGCCTGTGCATTTTGAAAGTGGGCTACAGAGATGCCACCAGGCAGTGTCTCTGAGACCCTCAGATATGGGACACCCAGGCTCAAGAGCAAGGCCAGAGTGTGGTCATCTGGTCCCAGCTTATTCCCTGGATGGACTCTCTCTATGGGCCTCAACTTCCCTATATACGAAATGGCAGGACTGGACTGGATGATTTCTAAGGCTTCTGTCCATTACTGACAGTCTAGGATTCTCTGATCTGAGGACCAATGCCAGCACAGGGCGGAGGGGTTGATTCCATTCTGGGCAGGAAGCTATTCTGTTTTCCTCTGTTTGGAATGCCCTTCTTGCTTTAGCCCCTCACTTGGCTAAGTTTTTCTCTAACTCCAGCAGCCTTACCTACCTTACCCTTCCACCCTCTGGGCATCCCTAGGCATTGTTTACTTCTCTAATTTCCCACTAGACTATGAACTCCTAGAGGGCAGGTACTGGGTTTTGTTCAAGATGGAATCACACGCTTGTATTAGTTTCCCCAGAGTGCTGTAACAAACTACCACAACCTTGGTGGCTTATAACTGAAATTTATTCTCTCACATTTCTAGAGGCCAGTAGGCCAACATCAGTTTCACTGGGCCAAAATCAAGATCTCAGCAGGACTGTACTCTCTCTGTATGCTCTAAGGGAGAATCTGTTCTTTCAGCTTTTAGTGGAGGCTTGCATTCCTTTGCTTGTGGCCACATCACTCCAAATTCTGCATCTGTCTTCACATTGCCTTCTACTCTTCTCTGTGTGTGTAGTCTACCCTTCCTCTCATAATAACGCTTGTAGTGGCATTTAGAGCACACCCAGATGATCCAAGATAATCTATCTCAAGATTCTGAACTTAATCACATCTTCAAAGACCCTTTTTCCAGATAAGGAATATTTACAGGTTCCAGGGATTAGGATGTGGATGTATCTTTAGACGACAAAAAATAAGCAAAGACATCATTAAATTTACCATTTGTTAAGCATTTACTATGTTCCAGATACCACACATACATTTTTCTTACTGCATTTAAGTCTCACAATAACGCTGAAAGGTAGATATTAATGCCTCTACTCTACAGATGAGGAAACTGAATGAGACTCAAGGAGGTTGTCCAAGCTTACATAGCTGATGAGTAACAGAGCAGGATTTAAAACCAGATGAGCTTGGCTAAAAAGCCAGCATGATTTTTGCCTCACCAACAGCCTTGGTGCCTACCTCAGGCTCTGGCACAAATTTCTTACCTGAATGGATGTGCAGAAAGAGAAAGGTAAGTGGACAAGAGACAGAAGATGAGGCCCAGACTTCCTAATGCTATGGATGCAGGCTTTCTTTTGCCAAAGCCCCCTTACCACCTCTCTAATCCTTCCCCACCACCCCTGACCCCTAGTTGCAGAAGCTTGGAATCTCCCCCAGTCTGCAGCCCCCTGCCAACTACTGCTGCTCAGAGGGGTGGCACAGTGCCTGGACTTCAGGCAGGATATATCAAATCACAGAACTAGAGGGACCTCTGAAGGTCACCTCTTCTAGCCCTCTGCCCACATACAGGCCTGCCCATGAGGACAGGGCAGATAGGGTCACGGTAGTGAGCAGCGAAGGGAGAAGTAGCCATCTCTTACTTCACCTACCCTTTCTCCTCATGTCTTACACGATTTGTGTCGGGAAGTCCTTACTCAAGTCTAACCTTCCAGACATGCTGTAATGAAAGCTGGCCAAGGTAAGAAGTCCTGTGAATCAGTCCTAGTTGTCCAAAATATAAAATGAGATTTTGGCTAAGTCCCTTCACCTCTGTGGGCCTTTAATTTTTCATCTTTAAAATGGGGTCGGTAATGATGATAATATCATCTCACAGGGTTGGGCAGGGGGTGGTAAATAACAGC